CATGGTTCATGTTGCTTTAGCTTGGAATTTTGATGTCACTAACAAGGCGGGAATGATCGGGGTGGCTGCGGAAGGAAAATTTGCCTACTTGTCCATGATGCATCTTCCCCAATAATGACAAGAGGAAGTGTCCCTGTAGATGTTTTTTTTTTGTTTTTTTGTTTTTTTGTTTTTTCAGGAGGAAAAAAAAAAAAAAAAACATCTAGAGGGAGATTTCGTCTTGTCATTATTGGGGAAGATGCATCATGGACAAGTAGGCAAAGTTTCCTACCGCAGCCACCCCGATCATTCCCGCCAATTCCAAGCTAAAGCAACATGAACCCTGACGTCACTTGCAAACCCAGTCCTGCCCATCCTCATCCCTCCCTTGTATATTTGCTCTGTAGCTCTGTGTTAGCATTCTTGTCTAGCAATCTTGCTGAGCTACATTCGATCCCACGTGCTGCCAGTGGACGGTAACCCTGTTCATTCACACAAGGGGTAATTTAGAAGCAAATAAACAGACAGCATGTCACGGCAAAGACTATCCTTTTTAACAAGTGGAATTAAAACAAGTATTATTATGATTATTGCACTGGAACTGTCTCCATCTCCTTAACAAATTACCCTGTCTACAAGGATTGGTCAGATTGTGGAGAAGTACTACTCACCTGCCCCTTGGACTGTGATGCAGCATCAGTACAATGCTACACTGTTTCCCCTAGACGCTGTCGTAAGTCCTCCACCAATATTACCGAGATTACTTTCTGTAGACGTGATTTATCGTTTAATGTTTATATTTTTAGAGTCCCTCCGTACCCAACCATATTAACTTCATCCCTATTAATGTCAGAATTATTGGTGTTTAGGCCTCTCTGCCAAAAACTGCTGCTACACAGCCTGATGAACTCTATGTGCCCAATCTGTGTGGTTATGATCGATCAAACTGCTCTGCACAATTATGAACATGAACCAATTGTGGTGGCTCTTATAATGTGTTGTATAGGGATTGCCCTCCCTGCAAGTTTAAGTCTGAGATGGTGATTCTCAGATTGAATTTTGGTAAAAATTCATGACAAAAACATGACAGGAAGCATGCAGAAGAAGTTTTTGAGGTTTTTCTCCTACTCCCTATACTAGTACTGTCCTTCATTCTGCCCCTCCCCCCTCCCTACCAAGATGTTTTTACATCTTCAGTATCTCTTCCCCATCCCACTTTTAGCCCCCCCCCCCCTCTCACCTAGTCAAAATCTTTTACCATTCTGAATCTAGTCACCTCAATCTCCACCATTATTCTGGAAACTCTTGTCTCTTCTTCTCTGGCACCTACCCCTCGTCATCCTCAGCCAACTCCTCTCACAAGACAAGCTAAACATTTCCATCTGCATCTACATGAACCTCTCCCTCCACCCCTCAAACATCTGTCGCCACTGCTCCCCCACGCAAGAAAACCTTTAATTCTCAAATCTCCCCTGCCCACTCCACTTCAGAAACTCTCAAAGGCATTGAGACCTATTTTATCTTGACCCTAGATAACATACCTGCACCTCACCCATCCTCAAATCTCTCATGCTCATGTTCCCCCTACACCCCTTCCTCCCACTCCCAACACATCGGCTTCAGCTGCATCATCTCCCTTTCCCATTATTCCTTCCAACTCCCCCTGGATACACATACAACACCCTTCCCTGGATTCTCTCCCTTTTTCCTATAAACCCCTACCTTACCCTATGGTCCTGTTTCCAGAATTCCTCACTCCTACCTTTAACAACTTTGATCTAATCACCTTTATTAAGTCCTACCTTCTGAACTGCTCTGTAATTTTGACAGCTAGCACATTTAGTCATCATCTAACCTCCTCTTTTTCACCTTTCTGCAGTGCTACATGACCTTTGATGTCTAGCTTGTTTGTTTTGTTTTGTAACCATTAACCATCGTGTTATTCTGAGAGGAACATGGGAGGCTAGACCATCATCCAGCTATCATGCTCTTGTATATATATATGTGTGTATATATATATAGAAGGCAAAACCCCACACACTAATGCATGCAAGATCATGTTTACTCTTGATGTGCACAGATGCTATTGAAAGATCTATTTATTTTGGCAGTAGGAGGTGATGCACTGGGCGGTCAGTGTGCAGTGCTGTTACATTTAACACATGCCTCAGATTCATGTTTTCATTATTTATAAATTATATTTTAAGTTTCGTAATAAAAAATTGATAAGTAAGGGCGTATTTTTCTGTGTCCTTTTGGTAGTATATCATGTAAATGTTCACATTATGATGTCAAGAAAGATATTTGCTGAAATGACAGGATAAAAATCTTCAATGAGTATTATTCATATGATAGGATATTGACTTCAGAGGAATAATTATTGTTAAAATCATAATGTATATCTATGTTTCAAAATAGAAACAGATATATCAATATATGTTTTCAAGTGTGTGTGTTTTTGTCTAGGTCTCAATGTGTTTAAAAATATATACATACACATGCATATGTATATATATATATA